GAAAAGGTGTGTAGGATTGCAGTTGTCGTACAAATATTAATAACAGATTCATACATATCTTTGGATCTACAAACAGATTTCATATAGGACCGATCTCACTGGAATTGAAAACCCTTGATCTCTTGTTTTTGAAATATTTTTTATTATGTAAGACTCTTATTTGTACCATGGAAATTTTACCAGAATTTTCATATACTCCCCATCGCATCAGCTTCGTTTTGTGTTCAACATCTATTTACTATCAAATGTCTATGTGTGTTCATTTATTCGTATCTGTTTTTAGCTTTTATTTGAAAGTGTACGGGAGAACTTGAGAAACTGTAAAATTGAAATTTTTAAAAGTGTATCTAAATTTTAGTTGTTTTTGGTGGTTTTACTTTGGAAAAATATTTTAAATTGCCTGACCCAAAATCATATTTAGATGAAACGACTCGTGAACTTGGTTTACCTTTGCCAGGGTATCATGTCCCCTGGCGAGAGTCAGCACAATCTTGGAAGATGCTATCGACAGGCAGTGGAACGACGTGAAAATGTCGTCCCGTCGAGCCGTTGCCATGTGTCCCGCTCGGTCCACTGTGCACGATGGTCAGTGGAGTCCTTGCGCAAACCAGTTAGAGTACTGTAGCAGGACTGTGGTTCTAGTAGGAGACTGATTTGATTGGATTTCTTAATGGTAAGCGTTACAGTGTCCATTGTAAGCTCATCCACTGATCCTCAACATTTCTCTTGCCAGTTGTAGATATATGAGAGTTAAAATTATTATTTATTCAGCATAAATTGCATGCCCTCCATCTGCTGTTCTTTGAAGTTGGGGGCCTTGAAGGGATTACGATTACAGGACTTGTGAGGAGCTGTGGATATCGTGGGCTGCATATACGATCAGAGAACTATCTCAGGGCACGGCTGCCCTGGATACGGAGAATGTGTGGGGCGCCTTGAGATCGGGGATTGGTGTGCCGAAGTCCCTGTTGTCGGTAGCATAGAAAATAAATGTATGAAATATATGAAGAACTATAAAAGGAATTGAAATGTTAGAAAATGATACCAACGGGAAAATTTGTATATTTTCGACAGCCAAATAATTTCCATTAACTTTTGTTTAGTAATCCCCACCTGGAAGCGAGTCTCAGCCAATTACGCGGCCTTTCCCGAGCCGAAAAACTGGGCATTACATTTCCCAAAATGGTTGCAACCACCCTCTGCCCCAGCCACTGCCCCTGCCCCTGCCCCAAGCAGCCGTCATGACCAACGAAAAACAATTACAGCCAAAAAAATGAGATATACGTAGAAACAGACAGACACACACTTATGCTTATCTGAATAATTTATGGTTAAAATCAGACGCAACCGCTGCTGCGGTGGCTGCCTCTCCTGTGGTTGCTGTTTCGGGAGGGAGTTTGGGAATTGCACCACGTGGTGCGGGGCAGGGGCACCACTCCAACGAAATGCTAATAGGCGCCACCCAGAAAATACACAAAAATTGTAAAACAATTAAAATGTAATAAGCAGAGGGGTCAGTTCTCAAAGTCAATGGGCGGCACTTGCCCATGCCGGTTTCCCTTTTCCTTTTCCTTTTCCGCTTTTCGTTTTTATTTTTGTGCGGTGGGGCTGGAAAATAGAGTAATTAATAATCTTGGTTGTCCAAAGCGGGTAACGCCTCTATTAGGCAATGATAAACAGTTTTTGCTTGCACAAGCCGGAAAAAAGGTGACCAAAGTCCGAGTCCGAGTGCGAGTCCGCGACGAAGTTGTCGGGCCTGTCAGGGCCGCTTGGCGCCAAGGATGTCAGCAGCGGACTCACATTTGGCCAATGCCTGGGATCCCCTGCAGAGCTTTTGATTGACACTTGACATTTCCCTGGGCTTTGCATTCAACGGAGCATTGCCGGAGTTGTCTTGACATCGTGTCTTGGGTTTCGGGGTTTTGCCAGATGAAAATGTGTTGATAGTGGGTAGAAATTTGTAGGTACTTCAGGGTTTGTTGGTTAACTGGGTTGTACGTACAGTTAGATCAGATTGGGATGAGCAGTTGGATGTACCGTTGAGGGGAATTATGCTGTTCATGAGGCCAAAGAGTGGGCAACATTTGGAAAGCATGAGGCAGAGATCTTGGATAGAAATTTGAAGATACACGAGAGCTCTACATGTAGCTGCAGTTTCATAAAATCTCAGCTTAACTTATGCCTTTTTAATGCTTTCGATTATTACAATCATTCCTTCATTTAAAAATTTGAGAATACATATTTTCAGGCAGAGGGCGAAGAAAATCCTATAGAGAGTGAGCGAGAAATATAACCGAAATTTACGGATCCAATACAATAAAAAAGGCGATACCTTTTTGGCGATATGTGTTCTTGTTCAGTTTAATATGTATCTATCTTTCATTATCTTAGCGTGATAACCAATATGAAATCAATTTTGGAATAAATATAGTATATCTTAAAGAGATATGTGTTGTAATCCCTGAACCAACCGAACTATCCACCATAACTCCTACCATCCTGTATCTGTTAATCATCTGACTGACCGAAGCCCTACAAAACCCCAAGCGTTGAATGCACGTGGCAACCCATAAAGCCCATATAAATTTATACCCCATATATATATTCGTGGCATCCACCTACATGCATACATCCATCCATATATGTATGCATGAACCATTTAGACTGGCTCCCGGGGCAGAAGCTACTATCAGAGTGAAAGGGACACAGCGCAGACAAGCCCAAAGCGTCAAGTTGTGAAGCTGTGTGCAAAAAATCATTAACACGCACACGGACACACAGCCACCCAGTCACACAGCCACCCAGCAAAACCCCCCATCGTGGATGGGTGGGTGGACCTGACCTGGCTGTCCCTGTCGCTCTGTTTGGGGCGCCTCCTTATGGTGCAGGGTCTGGGCGAGACTTGCTTAAATTACTTGGGTTTTTACATGCGGCAGTGAGGCACATTAACACTGTAATGTGCAAAAAGTGTTCTCCTGCAACAGTGTGTGTGTATGTATGCCTGTGTGTGTGTGTGTGAAGGAAAACAACATGGCGTCCTTGTAGCCTCTGTGTCGTTGTAGTTGTAGTCCGAGTGGCACTCATTGTGATGCAGAAAGGGTGTCCGAAAAGGGTTTATGCGGTAGAAATGATCGTAATATGGAAAATAGTCAATGTTTTATACCATAGTTTCAGTCGAGGCTGTTAAGTGTTCTTTGATTAAATCAGAGACTCTAAATGTGGCATGGGACCGGCTTCTGTGTGTCGCCAAGGACTGTGAACGTAGTATATTGTTGTTGAGTTCTGGCAAAGATATTTCCGGCAAATATTCCATTGCAAAAATACCTCTACGCTACTCCCATTTACCACTGATTGTCTCCGCATAAACCTCAAGGCTCCATGGTTTGCCTGGTGGGCGTCAGATACTTTTAGTTAAGATTAATTGTTATATATTAACATGGCGTCGAGTTACGAAGTCTGCGAAAACGAGCTATTTACAAGCTAAACGAAAGTTGACTTTGCCCAAACGACCAGGAGGAGCGGAGGAGCGGAGAAGTGGAGTGGCAGGCGGCCCGAGATGAGTGTGGATGCTGATGTTGATGTAAATGCTGTCTCCTGCCTAGAATCGCAGTGAAAGTGTCTGGAAATGAGGCAGAGTGGAGGAGAGAGTGAGAGCTCGAGCAACTTTAATAAACAGTGAAAATATTCAAGTCCGCCTGCTGTTTATGGCATATCTTGTGGGTGCGTGTGTGTGTGTGCTAGATTTATGTTTTCCCATTTTCATGTTTTATCATCAGCTGCTACTGGCGCTGGATCGGGCGTGGAATTATTCATGTTTTTCGCAGCGTTACTCATACGCCGCGTACTCGCATGAAAAGGGTTCAAAATGGCTGCCATTCTGGCCTATTGCGTTTGAATTATGGGCCAAAAAAGGGTCGGCTCTGTGGCTCTTCCTCTCCATCTCTCTCTCTCTATACATCTTATCGTAATATGGTTTGGCTATACTTTTGCTGGGGCTCCGTAATGGAGGGTGAAATGTGGTTCCGAATGTGGTGCGAAAAGGGAATTTTTCTGATTTATACGAGTGGCAACTTTTGAAACTTTCTCTTTAAGGGATTAAAATTGGGTGTTCTCTCCAACCTTTATATGGGATTGTTTAGCTGTAGCACATTTCAGATCGATTATGGCCTTAATTGGGTTTCTCGATTGCTTTCGCAAATCGCATTTTAAAATGTTCAGTGAATATTCCATCCACATCCCACTTTTATCTGTTTGGCTATAACAATTGAATGTTATCTGCCTCTGCGACATCTTGGCATATGTTCGGCCCGCCCGCCAACCCTGCAGACCCCATCCTTTGGCCTCATTCCATCCCTGACAACTGTCGCATTTGGAACCACAAACCAATTTGTCGACGACTTGGGAGATGGCGCGCCACTCGAGAGCATATTGACAATGCTAACTGGAAGTCAATACGGAAATGGTTTCTATCTTTGTGTTCCTACTGCTGCCCCCGCCCCATACGCTCCTGCCACTGGCTCTGCCACCACCCACACTCAACGCGCTGTCACTTTGGGCGCAAATTTCGCCATTTCCACCCTCGCTAATGTGCAAATAAAAATGTTAAAAGGGTCCTGTAGCACTCAATTACACGCCCTGGTGACCATCTCTCTCGTTTCCGTTTCTGCTGCTGCCGCTGCTGCTGCCTCTGCCTCTCCCTTCATGCCTCTTGCCACATACAGCGGTAACTGCGTGAGCTTTGTCCCGCCTTTGTGTGCGTGACTTGCCTCTGTATGCTGTCCGTGTATGTGTGTGTGTGTATGCTAAGGCTTCGCTTTGCTGCAGAGAAAACATTATGGCGCGCGAACGGAAGTTGCCATCTTGTTGATGGCAGTTAAAGATAAGCGAAAGCGAAAAAAACAAAACAAAAACCCAAGCAGGACGCGAGTTTTTTTTTATGGTCGAGTTTCGCTGGGCTTTTAGGGGTATATTGGGTTTTTCGTTCAGGAAGGAAACGGCAGTCTTATGAAATGTTGTATTTGGCAAGAAACTTCTCAATTTTTTTAGTAGAATTGCAAAAGAATATGGAACAATGTTCATGTGGCAAAAAACTGGAAAATTTTCGTCTCCTGTGGCGACATCATTGCCCGTGGTCGTTGCCCGAAAAGTGCCCAAAGGTTTGATAGAAGACAGCCCAGATGATTAGGTAGATGAAGCCGAAATAGTTCACGGCCGCGAAGACTACGATCCAACGCTCGTACTTGAGGAACACAAAGGGCGTCAGACCCCATCCCATGTAGACAATGTTGTAGGACTTCAGGGTCACGAAGTAGAGCACGTTGTAGATGTCCGATCTGCTCAGGATGCTGCCATATTGTGGTAGGATCGCCTGCTCATAGAAACGAGCGATCTGCTTCTCCGTGCTGACAATCATGTACTCCATGAGGAAGGCCATATAGTAGCCACTGTGAAAGCCATGCCAGACGGCCAGGAAACCCAGGGCGGCCACATAGCTGATCGTGCGATTGTCGAGGAACTTCAAACGCCTGTACACATACTGTCCCACCCACCGGTTTGTGTTCACATTGAAGCTCTGTATGTAGTGCTCCATGGTGTTGCCCGTCTCCAGCAGGATCAGCTTGACATTGCTGCAGCCGGACCAGTCGGGCTGGCCATGCACATCCTTGCCCTTGTAGGTGAAGCCAATGTATATGAGGGCGCCCTCGGTGAGCAGCCAGCACGAGACGTACTTGTACAGGTTGAACTTTGCCCAGAAACCGAGCAGAAAGATCCGCTTGATGAATCCCACCTCGGCAAACTCGGAGCTCAGGAAATAGGAATCAGGCAGTACGCTTAGACCCAGCTGACAAACGATCAGGTAGAACACGCCGGTAGCCAGGCGGCGCATGCCCGCCTCCACATTGCCCTCGTGCTGGCGGAAATCGCCGTTGATAAAGTTCTGGTAGCGACGGAGGGGAAACTGAGGTCCTACCAGGAAACCGCTGGGGAAGTACGCGAACGCCGAGAGCTCCAGAAGCGATGGCACCTGCGGCAGAGCTGTTTCCTTCTGTTCCTTGGACAGAGCCCCCATTGCCTTGAGACCGTCGGAGATGTCGAAGCCGAGGCCAATCATGCGCAGCACCAAAACGCAGTGCGGCGTTGTCCAGAGAATGTCGTACTCGTTGCTGGCTGTGAACAAGTAGCCAAGCAGCAGATAGCTCATGTGGAACACCACGTTCAGGCCAATCATCAGCCTGATGTTGTGTCGCAGGAACCGGACCAGCAGATATGTGACGAGGATCCCCAGCAGCGAGTGGTACGTGTCGACGCCGTAGTTGAGGTAGCAGAGGCCAGCTCCACAGGCGAAGAAGAACATGTGATGCAGCGTCTTGAAGGGCACAGCCTCTGCCACGTATGCGGTGTAGAACGCAGCGATGGGATAGCCGGCCAGAATCGTAAGCAGAAGACGCACTGCCGCCGGTTGCACGCCCGCTGCCCCTGCTGCGGCACCCATCAGCCCCTCACCGGGCGTGTCCTCCACGTGTCCAGGCATGCTGCCGACCAGCCAGGGAATATATTTGTGTAGTGTATATGAAATGAACAAACAAACTAGTATGAATGCAAAATCCAAGGTACTACTGGAGTCTATCCTTCGACAATTTTTCACCGTCTCCTTTTGCCATTTTTTGTCTGTTAGATTTTCATGGTTTTCCGCGCTTCTGGCTGCTTGGCTGCTTTTTATTGCCGTGCATTTTATGTATATTTGTTTCTATTTTTTTTTGCTGCTTCTATCTCTCCAACCTTCCTTCCGTCGGCCATGTTGGCAGTTATCTCTCTGTTCCGCGTTCTGTTTCTGCTTCGTGCCCCACAGTGCTATGCATAATCCTCCTTCTGTCTTTGGCATTTAAGTTTTATGGCTGTTTGTTTCGTTATTTCTCATTTTTTTTTCCACTTTGCGCTGTGCTCCTAATTTGCAATTTTGTATGGAGACATGGACGACGACGACGACGCCTTAAAGCGGTTTTGTCATGTCATTTGGTAATTGGGTGGCAGCGGTTGGCACTTTATATATTTCGCCGCCAGTTGGCAGCGCTCTCGCCTCCATTCTGGTCACACATGGTCACACTGGCCGCTGGCTAGCATGATAAATGTGACCGCTCCATAGAGGAGTCCGATTCGGAGTGGGTCGTGGGATGTGGGAAGTGGCAGCCCCTGACGACAGTTCGATATCTAAATTTGTTTTTAACGGAGGAAAGACCCCTATCTTGAGACACCACTGGGGAGTCGCCCACTCTCCTCCGTTGAGGCATATTTTGTATAACTTTTTAAGCCATATTTGGCCAAATTAAGTGCCCCATAAAGTCCCAGTTTTTACAGCTCGTAAAACAAGACAAGAATCGAACTTCAACGCCGCCGCAAAGCGAGCGTAAAGCGTTCGATGGGTGTATAAATAAAATTTCCGTTTAAAATCAATAAATTATAATTAAATTATAACTTAAGCGAATGCTAATTTGTGCGGGGACTGGGCACGGAACACGGTATCTGGTGGATACAAAAATATACCTAAAATTGACATTGGCAGCAACACCTCCCGGCCCCCTGCGGCGTTTGTCGTCGCATTCGAGAGAGAATTTTGCATGGATTTCTGGTAAATTCCTTTGTCCGCAAGGTAAATGCATATAAATTTCATAAAATTAAACTTGAGGACATAAAAATGGCACTTCAAATTGCCATAAAATTGCATGTAAATGTAAAATTATCTGGCAATTATTACAAGTTTCAGGCTGTGCAGAATATATGAATCCTATGTGCCAGAAATACCTTCCCCAAATCGAATTTCCCCTGATTTGTTGTTCATCGAAAGCATAGGCAAACAAAGATCTCAATTATGTTAATAAGTTTCACGCCCATCCACACGATTTGGCTTATCCCATGATACTCTTCCTCTATCCACACACACACAGCCTCCAGCCAGGGCTATAACCTTTCACCCCAAAAGCAGGATATTTCACCAGCCACAAGGAAAACTCCATTCAACACCAATTAGGGATGATCATCAGGAAAAGCAGTGGCATCGGAAGCAGCAGCAGCCGCCAGGGAGACAGGTGGAAGGATGGATGACGGAGTCGGGTTGTCGTCGAGCAACCCCATTTCGGGTGTCATTTGTTATTGAGGAACACAAAAAAAAAACACAAAAAAAAAACGTTGACTTCACTCCCCGAGTGTCATAAATACATCCCGGACGGGGGGGCCATAGACAAACAATCAACAATTTATGCGACTGCCACCCGAGAGGATGAGTGGGCCACTTGAGTGGTGGTCCTGCCGGGGGTGGCTGGGTGACTGGGTGGTGCTGGGTGGTTGAGTGGCTGTAGGGGTGCCTGCTAAATTGCTCAACAACGGGGGCGCATGTTAAACATGAATTATGAATTGTTATTGAGATTGATGTGGTTGTTGCTGTTGCTGGGCTGTTGCAGGGTGGTGCTGCTGCTGTGGCAACTCTATCTAGATGTGGCTGCTCTCGTTTCTGCTGCACTGAAAGCAAAAGGGGATATTTTTAATGATATTTTTGATAGTTCCAAAGGTTAATACAATCAATATCCCTTTGACTGTTTAGCAAGTGCTTCAGAAATTTCTATAACTGGTTGAAATGTAGGTATATATTTCTCTCAGTGTGGTCGTGTTCCGCTGCTCCTGCTACTCATGGATTCTGCTCCTTCTGTTCTGAGTGAGGACTTGCTTCCTTCAACCAGCTCTGGCTTTGTTTTGTGCGGTAATTTCATTGAAATCATGTTGAGTAATTGGTGCTACTGGGGCTGGGAGGGTGTATAAATAACCCTCGGTACGGGGGTGACTCTCTCTCTCTCTCGCCCTGTGAACCACTCCCCCTTTGGATTAGGCAACCGCTGGCATCGCTTTATGCGGTTTGTATTTATTGCCCCGTTTTGCCGTCACTTGCCCCCGTAATTGTAATTCTGTTTGTGTCTGTATTTGTGTGTTCTGTGCTGGGTATTATGCTACACATGTAACATGTATCTGATAGATACTCTGCCCCGGCGGGTGGGTGGTGTGGTCCGCCCTGAAAGTGGTGGGTCGGGTCTGGTCTGGTTGTTTGCTAATTTGGGTATAATTTGTGACTGTTTATTTATTTTGGCTCTGGTTGGAATTAATTTCCTTCAAATTTTGACAGCTCTGCAGCGATGAAGCTGTTTTTTACACATGTTAACATTGTTTGGGGTAGGAAATATATACTACGATTATAGGAAGTGGATCTGGATTGGTTGCAATGGGGATTATAGAAAAAAATAGCTGTATAGCTTTTTCCTTTATAGAATTTTCCATCACATATGTATACTATATCCAAAATATCAGTGCTCTATAGTTTTTCGAGGATATCTTTGCACACATTTATCTCTTCTTTTTTTATATTTCTCTCAACTCCTTTTGAGCCGTCGCATCGTTTCCTTATGAAATACACTCAACCGCATACACAAAACGTTCGTGTTGAAAAATGTGATGTTTAATTTCGCACATTAAAATCAGAAAATTATCAGACACGAAAACCCATAAACCGCACACCGAATGCCCCCCACCAGAGGCACAAACACAGATACGGAGATACCCAGCAAAAACGGGGCTGAGGCAGACAACCAGGAGACGGAGACGCACACAGAGTGGGGAAGGAAAGAGAGTGCAGTGAGTAAGATTAAAATCTTCTCAGAATTGTGTGGACAAAGCCAGGAGGTAAGGCCACATAAATGAGTGAAGGAGGAGCAGAGGGGGTAGCTGCCTCTGATGCTGACGCTGCTGTTGCAACTTGGTGGCAAACAGAGACCAAAGCCAAAGGAGTCAAATCGATATTGGCAATGAGGGAAAGAAGGAGTCCAGACAAGCAAATACTAACAGGAATAACAACGAATGGATGGTATGGATTGTACACCGAAAACGGAGATACTCTTGTAAGGGGAATACTTTTATGGAAGCCTTAATATGGATAAAGTCTTCTTTGAAAGTATAATACCCTTTGAGAGTGTACAAAATCGACAGAGACGTTGGCATGTAAACAAATCGATTTGTTTCATTGATGACATTCTTGGCGAGATTTTTGCAAAATGTCATAAAGTTTATGACTTAAGTCTTTTGTTTGACTCTGACGTGGACTGGGGACTGAGGACTGAGGATTGGAGACTCAGACCAGAGACTGTGGAAAGAGGACAGCGGACGGAGGACGGAGGAGACTGCCGTCTGATGCTGGACCTGCGGCTGGGTACTCGCCTGAAAATATCATTATTAAACCGATCGAACGAACCCCAGCCACAAACGAGTTTGCCATTAAAATCAGCATCGCATCCAAGTTCGGTTCTGGCATTCACACCTACAAAAGTGTCATGCGTTTGGCATTTAGCGTGTGAGTTAGTCGAGTGAGTGTCTCGGCCCAGAGTCAAGAGTCAGCATCAGCGTCAGAGAGTCAACTCGGAGTCGGAGTCGGAGTCTCGATGCGTCTCCGGCTATACGGCTGTTTTTTGCGCATCCACAAATTTAACGATTAAGACGTGTTAAATTGTTAACAAGCCACTTGCAGTTATTGCCAATAAGCTGCAAATTTACGAGGCTTGGCCGGGTCTCTCGCTCTTTCTCTCTCTCTGTCTGTCTGGGTTCGGGTTTGGTTCTGGCAAGGCCTCTCCCCACAGTCTCTAGTCCTGTCCATTTGCATGCCATGGGATCTCTGGTTGCATTTGTTTGCGGACAATCGTTTGGGGTCTTTCCAGCCTCCCATCTTCGCTGGCGGTTGTGGCATTTGAAATGTGTGACAAGCTCCATGGGCTGCCTTGTATATCAAAGGGTTTTATGTGGAGTCTTTAAAGTCAAGAGAGTTTCTGATTCGTATCAGCTGCATTTGAATATCACGAATTAATTTGGTATAGCATTTGTTGTGACAGAATGTTTTATAGGAATCGAACAACAAAGAAAGCTATATAAGCTATAGGCTTAAACATAGAACATTTATTGGAGTACTGCTGCATATATCTAAAACGAGTATCCTTCTTAAAAACTCCCTTACGAGTGCCCTGTATAATATTTGTATCTTAAAATGCTTCTGCTCAATTTTGAAACTTCTCAACTTGCTAGGGCTTACATTCTACACCCTCCAACTGCTCAATTTCAGTATCAAATTTGATCCGAGTTTGCATAGATCAATCACACCAAAAACCATAACCATCGAGAGGCCCCCGCTTATCCAGGGCTAAGCCCAGTTCGAATGACAAAAGCGAAACCCAATCAATAGCCGAGACAGCCAGATCTGGGCCCAGCCATAGATCAGTCTTAGCCCTGGCTTATTGCAGTTTAAGCAGACACGAATATAGACATAACACTGCCGTTGAATGACCTGCCGTCAGCCCACATCCAGATGCATAAATTAGGGCATTCTCGCACACAAACGAGAGCAGGAACCCATCGATATCCAGCCGAGATATCTATCAGTGCTGGGCCGTTTTCTTGGGCGTAACTTGCATATAAACGGTGCTAATAACACCTTTAAACTGGCCAACAAATTACCGTTTCAACATTGATTTTGAATAACATTCGATATCGATTCAAATGCGATGCAAATGCGACGACGACG